TATATATATATATATATATATATATATATATATATATATATTTCCAAATTTGTTTCTTTTTGGAATTTTCATGTGTATTTAAAGTTTTCAATTACAAAGTAAACAACACAAACATCTTCAACTTCAAAAAACTCTCTCTCCAAATGGAGAACCGCTTCAAAGTTCGAATATCCAGAATGTTTCAATCCTCCTTCAACTCTTGCCGGACTAAAAACATCTCCGACGTCGCCGATCAGCCTTTTTTCTTCCCGGAAAACCGCCATCACCGCCAACTCATCGACCTTTTCTCTCCTAAACCTCAACCTTGTAAACCCAAACACCAACTCGAAAACAACCCAAAACCCCACACTTCCCGGCCAAAAATCTCCGACAAATACACCCTTTTTCCGGCACCTACAGACACCGGAAAACCACACTCTACTTCCCTTCCTCCGCCACTGTTCTACGAAAAAACATCAAAAAACGCCAAGAAAAAGAAAGCCCATCACCGGAAAAGTACCAAAAGCCAAGATTTTTCATCAGTTACAGATAATTACTACTACGATTGTTGCAGCAGTGATGAAGAAGACGAAAGTGACGACGAAACCACTCTTTTCTCATCACGATCACTCTCCTCCGATTCATCCGTATCATTTCGCAAAAACAAAGCTCGCCGATTACCTCAGAAGAAAACCAGGAAACCGGCCGGCGGCGGTGGCGGTGGCGGCGGCGGTGGCGGTGGCCGTGGTTGCAAGAATCGAAAAGCCACAGATGTAATCCCATTAAAGGGTAAAGGGAAATTCGTGAAGGATAGTGTTGCAGTGGTGAAGAAATCGAACGACCCACATGAAGATTTTAGGGTTTCGATGTTGGAGATGATCGTTGAACGACAAATCTTTGGATCACAAGATCTTGAGAATCTTTTGCAGTGTTTTCTTTCATTGAATTGTGAAGAACATCATGGGGTTATCTTTGAGGTGTTCACTGAGATTTGGGACACTCTTTTCTCTGAATGGCTTTAAATCAGCTGTTTTTAAGCTTAATCTTGGTTAATTATTGTTATCCTAATTAAACATATAGATTATAATCAAGTGATTAATTAATTAACTCTTGTTTTTAATTCTGTTATTTAGAGGGTGTTTGGCACTGGTATAAGTTGTTTATCCAAACACTCAAAAGTGCTTATTACCGATGTCACACCAGAATAAGTCAATAAGTTGTGTTTATAAGTAATCCCAAACACCCCCTTAACCCGATCAGAATAAGTCAGTAAGTTGTGTTTATAAGTAATCCCAAACACCCCCTTAACCCGACCGTTCCTCAAATAAAACATATCTAATTATTCGAAATCATATAAAACTTCTAAATTCAAAAAAAACGGTAACGGGTTGTTCTTAAAATAAAAAAAATATCTAGTTTTTGAAATCTTATAAATCGGAAAAATCTTTAACGCATCAAAATTGTCATAACGTTTAAAAAAAGTTGACTTTTATTACACTGATTGTCTTTTTGAATTTGATACAAACGCATAACTGCTTTAATACAGTTTGTTGGTTTTTCAGTTTTAATTCAAAAAGTTCGTGTTACGGTTTTTTATAACAATTCCAAATTCAAAAAGAACAAAACAATATAGACATAGCTTTAATAGATAGTTCGTTTTTATATCAGATATGATTGTATTCGTATTTAAATATAGTTTTATCTCAAATAAAATCAGAAATTATATCTAATTGTCTATGCTTTTTATATCTAAAAAGCCATCGCACACCAGTATTTGATGATGTGAATATTTTTTTTTATTAACCTGAATATTGAACCTGTTATGCGAGCCAATTAATTCCATGACGATCATCTGTTTTGCGGGTAATCCGAAGTCACGGTATTTGAACTTTTGTGGCTACAAATGGATTTTTAGTTCTCATTGGATTTGAACCTGGAATCTTCAGACACTTTTTGAACTTTGGAGCCCAAATTCAAACCAATCAAATACTTCCTTATAATTAGTTGTAAATATAAATATTATTTTGGATTAATAATTAACTTATATAATTAAACAAAAAACCTAATTTTTAAATTCAAACAATGAAATTAAATAAATAATTTAAATAATAAAATCTATTTTTTTTTTCTCCAATTTAATGATATTTACAAGGTTTCCGTGAATTTATGGGAATTCTGCCCAAAAATTAGCAAAAGAGAAAATAAAAAGTGCTTTTTGGAAAAAGCAAAAAGTAGCTTTTATTTAATTTTCTTTAAAAGAGGTTGACAATTGGTTAACAAATTTGTACTTTTAGTTCCCACGCTCCACATATATCAATTATCATTCATTTGAGGACATTAATGAAATCAGGGATGTTCTAATTTTTTTTGGAGGTTTTGTTATATCTAAAACTTTTGTTTATATTGTATAAATGAGATGACATATGATATATGTTAAGAATAAAAATGGGTTAAACTTAAAATGATTAACAATCTGAAACTAAACCTAAACTATTACTGATTTGAACCGAAAACCAAATAAGTAATGGTTTGAACCTAAATAATTTCGGCTATAGTTTTACATAGGTCAATAAAAAAGACCCTAAACACATGTAAGTTTGGGCCCCGAAATTTTGAAAGCCCTGTTTAAAATCTCACATTTAACATGCTAAGGGACGACCCAGAATGAAACTCATGTCTTATCCGGTCATATATAGGGTTGGGTTCACGTGAGACCAGCCTGTTTTCGTGAGACCCGTTAGACCACATTTTTACACGTAACCTTCACAGCAAAAACACTGTGAAGGTTTAAAAAAAGTCGAACCTTCACAACAAAAACACTGTGAAGGTTTTAAAAAGTCACATTCACAGCATTTTGCTGTGAAGTTTCAAGTGTAAAATGTTGGTCTCACGGGTCTCACGAAAACAAACTGGTCTCACATGATCCCAAGTCGTCATATATATATATATATATATATATATATATATATATATATATATATATATTGCCATTTTTTCATTTGTGAATTGTTAATGAACCCATATCATTCGTCGACTCTATGTAATCTAATATTTCTCTCACGCATCAGTTCTATTACAAGTTATCGAACCTCTGAATCTATGTACTCTTTTTTATTTGTGATTTCGTGGTTTGGCCTTGAATCTCGAAAAAAATACAGAAATAGGCGAAATAT